ATATGGGTCTCTGCAGTCACATCACAAATGAAATGAATTCATTGCAATAACTGTTAACAAGCAATGCTTCCTTGTTCAGCAGAAGAACATTTACTTATCGGATGGAGGCCTGAGTATAATGTAAGGTTGTCAAAAATATACGTCAGGTGTTTTAAAACAATACAACCCCTGTTTGGTTTTTTTAAAATCTAATCTACGGTCATATTCTTAAACGAAATCCTCCAAGAGCAAAACAGAGAGTAATGTCTAAATTGTATGAATACATACCGAAAATTTGCCGATGAATTGGTGCTATTTAGACATCATGCAGGAGTTTGTCTGCATGTTTGTATCAAATATTGGGTGTCCAACACTTGTATTTTTATTCTGTGAAACAGGTGTCAGTATATTTGATTTTTAGAATTTTAATCAACGTTGATCAATCTTGTATTGTGGCGCTATTATAATGTCAATGCTTTCACTCCATTATGATGCAGATAGATAGACGGAGCTTAAAGGTCACATATTATGCAAAAAACACTTCACCATGTTTTTCTAACACTAATTTGTGTCTCTAGTCTGTCTACAAACTACCCAATTGCGAGAAAAGTGCATCCCCTCTGATTTTCACCTGCTCCACTCTTCAGTATATGTGTGCTCAAACAGGCCGTTTAGAGATTTTCCCTTCGTGACATCACAAAGGGCAGTAACCCCTCCCCCAGGTGGGTGACACTCCCACAGCTAGATGTTTGTTCTGCCCGCTGAGTCTGCCTTCTCACCGTAAACAACATGGCTCAAGAAATCCACCAAAGCTCTTCCAGAGGTAGGCCCTTGCCCGTGGTCAGACACAGCTCATTTACATTTAAAGGTACAGACACAGAAACAGCCTGTTCTGAGCAGGGCTGAAATAGAGGAGTTTATAAACATGATCAAATACAGGATCAGAGTGGATTTTTGGAAACTTGTTGAAAAGAATATAATATGTGACCTTTACGATGGGCATCAGCTCTACTTTGTTTAATCAGTGCCTACATAAAAAATACTTTTCGGATTGATTTTTAGGTCTAGGAGAAACATTGTGCAAACATGTGTCAGATGTTAAACATGAAGACCAGCAAATAGACATAAATTGTGAGTTACAGTTGTTTTATTGTGATTATCTTATTCAAGGCGTAAAGGCATTTGTGTTTAATCACACTTACTATTTTTTGCTGGCCTGTTATAGTTGTGTATTATGTGTCAAAATGTAAGAACCAGCAGATTATCTCCTCCCTGAGGGGATGGAAAATGGTGCATACTTTTCCAGTTCCTTCTTTTCAGGTGTCATGTCTACAGTTTGTGGTTTATTGGTCTGTTCTTTACAATTCAGGTCAATGATTCATTATGATTTCATTAGAAGAAAAAAAAAACTAGCTAGGACATGGAGGCAACAACAAAACACATAATGCTGTCTTTGTTTTCAGTCCCAATACCTGTTCCTGCATGGGCTTTTCTTCGACGGACAAAGTAAGCAGTGTGACACAGCCATGGGAGGTTGCTCACATTATCTCTGTTCCATCACATTTCTATGGACATGCCAAGCAAAAAAAAAAAAAAAAAAACCTCTGTCAGCTCTCTTTCCTTTCCTCTGTGAACTTCTGCAAACTGTAACCAAGAACCGAATCAAACTGCGTCAAAGGTTTAAGAATGAAATGAATAAAACGCCACAAAGGCACAAAGAACAGTGCTTCAATCTAATCAGCTTAACATCAGACTCACCAGGACATCAGGTTTTTTTTAAGAGGGCAGGACAGTTTCTCAAGTGTACTAAACCTTATTTCATAACATGTCCAGCTGTAAACCCATTTTATTTATCACAGAATGTACTCCCTGCTCAAGGTTACGCTGAGAATACCTAACACCATTTTTCTCTGGCTTAAAATACAATCTCCAGAGTGGAAACTTTCACAATAAAACAGGTTTAGCTGCAAAAAAAAAAAAAAAAAGAGGCAAAGGGCAAATGTTACGTACACAGAGTCAGTGATCGCTCTGGGCTGTATGTCATAGAAGCTACACAACAAGCCAGGCTATGGGGGTCTTTAGTTTCAGACCAAAACTAAAGGTAAACACAAGAGAAGAACGAGCCTGTGGGAACTACCATGCAAATCTTTTTTACTATAGGAGAGAAATTCAGACGTGTATCTGAAGTTCATACTTTGACTCTGCAGTCCGCCCACCACACAACGACAGCTGGTTTGCATGATTAAGAATAAATGCGTGACTGTAAAGGGTTAAAGTCAAGTCTTAGTCTTATAGTCTTGAAATTATGAGATAATCCCGCTGTGAGGGATGACATCGTGTGTCTGTCTACACGTGGCTCTGGAGTGACAGGACGGGGTTGGATCCAGTCTCTCATTTTAAACACGATATTCATTTAGAAATCGTTCTGAGAAACTAATCCAGCAAAAAAAAGAAAAGAAAAAAAAAAGGAATCATTTATGGGTTAAAGCCTCTCAACTTTGAGGATTTTGCTGCTTTTTCTCAGAAGTATTCACTGAATATTGTGAAGGTTTTTAGACTGTTGAACAGAAGAACAAAAAAACACAATCCAGCTTCACTCTGTCAAAACTGTCAATCAAAATGTCCCAGCAGCCAATCAATTAAATTATGTGTGACTGTGAAACAGCCAACAAACAACCTGCAATATACATCAACTCATAATTACATTATTTATAAAACTGATATGAAGGGGAACGTTCAAATTAATTTGATCATTTTAAAAAAAAAAATGTATTCCCATGGCAGATTGTCGCTGAACTCTATTTTATTCTTTTGATTAAAAATAATCTAAAAGGGTTCACTACTTAGTACAAAGCTAATTATTGTGCATTATAATTCCTGTAACTGCTCATATTTAATTTGGTTTTATATTGTCTCATATCAATCGCAGGCTCCTTAATTGTATTAAATCAAAATCTTAGAAGACTTTGTGATGTCAGTAAATATTGTCTCCACCCCTTCTGCCCAAATATTTTAAGAAAAGTCATGATTTGTCCTTTCAACATAAACCTTCTCATTGTTCATACAATTGGGAATTCCCAGCTTCTGTAAATCATACTGGATGTATTTGTTACTGCAACAGCATTCCCAGTATGTTTACCTTTATAAAAGATAATTCCAACATGTTCCCTGCCAGCTTGAAATGTACATTAATAGTGAACTAGTGATGGATCTGAGTGTTTGGTATTGGCAGAGATGCTGGAGTCAAGGAACCAGGTTTAGTATCCGCACAGAAAAGGATCTTACCTCTGTAGAAGATTTTAAAAGAAATTACCAACCAATTAATTTTAAAAAAGTTCATCAAAGTGGAGACATGAGCCTAAAGTGGAGATCATGTTGTAATCGATAACTCAGGATGATTTATCTTATTTGTTATGATGACCGATTCTCCCCCTGGAGATCAAAAAGTATTTCTGATTCTGATTTACTGGTTTTATTCAAAGCTTGAGATTGTATTACGAGCGACAGAGCTTTCAGTCGGATCACATCTAAGACCTTTAACTTCTAATGGAGTAGCTTTTCGTTGCTAGAGTTAATTCTAAGGTCTTTAATGAACCATTTAACTTTTGCAAGCCAGTGGACTAAACAACTGATTCACATGGACGTTTAAACGACCCGTCCTGCTCATTATGATTCTCCATCCGTATGACTCTCCTCTATACCCAAGATTAATCTTACAACTCTGGAGCACCATTACACGTAAGACTAGTCATAAATGTTCCAACATGAAGATATCAATATTGTTAAACTCCCTAAAAGAAGTACATATTGGATGATTTCTGCATACAGTCATGGCTCTTAATCATGAATAAAGCTCCAGTTCAGAGTCAGAGGTACGCAGGACTTTCTGACCTCAGCATTTGATCACCTTTTAGTCCGACATGGAGCACACGATATCAGAACTGTACAGTTGCGAGACCTGGCTCTCTAATGTGTTATGATGAAACCTAAGACCATGACACACTTGTGAAGTGAACCTGCCGTGGGGGAGGGGGATTGAGGGGGATTGGGGGTGGGGGGGGGGGATGGTTCAGGGGAAGTTTCCACCTGCACAGGGTGCATGCCTTTGCTGATCTTGCGTAATGATTGTCCCCAGGTCCCACCGGACTCTCACGGGATTCCTGATCAGCTCAGTGAGCAGCTCTGTGTCAGAAGCCCTTTAACTGGAGGGACGCATTTCATGTTTCCAAAAATAAGATAGGACACCCCCATGGCTTAGAACCTGCCACTAAAATCAGTGAGAGGAAATGTGGGCGTGAAGGTGAATATTCTCCTCTTATAATAAAAACACAACCTGAATTTAAAAACACACAACAGATACTGAGACTTTGACTAATCATTTGGAAGGAGAAAAGCCTTAATTTGAGATTTTAGCAGCAAATTCTAATCTGAAGAAAGCTATGAACTTGGAAAACACACACACAAAAAAACAACACACACACACAGTCAGAGCTTCAATAGTCTTCCATGCATTTATCTGTAACTCTTCATCTTTACCTTTTTTTGTTATTCTAACTATTTATATGTTGTTATTTTTTTTATGCTTAAACTCAAATTTAAACTCTTTACCTTTTATTGTTTTAATTGCATTTTCTATTTCATTGCTATATGATGTGTGCTTTAGTCTCTCCTTTTTAATCCATTTTTTGTTGGTACCATGCATGTTTGGCATTATTTTATTCTTGTTTTTATTTCCTGTAAATCACTTTGTATTGCATTTGAATAGCATGAAAGGTGCTATTTAAATAAAGCTCGTTTGATTGATTTGTGATTGATGCACTGACACACACACACACACACACACACGCAGGCTACACTTACACACTCAAACATTCAACAGTTTTTCACGCAGGACATTGACTCACACTTTGTATTTCCGTTTAATTAAATGATCAATTGACGCTTTTTTGGTAACATTATCCCCACAGCACGCCACTCGGGCTCCAACAGCATGCAAAGTTGAAACTGGTTTGCAGTCTTACCTTGGGCAAGTCTCGAAGTTGGTTTGCATCCAGCAGCAGCTCCTCCAAACTCCGTCCGTAGCGATAGATCTCATCGGGCACATAGAGCAGGGAGCAGTGGCGTTTATCGATCACCTCCACATGACGGTTGCACCGCCACAGGGGTATGCAGTGAAACATCGCGGGGGAGGTGAGGGGGGGGAGAGGGGGGGAATAAAATCTGGGAACCCGGTGCGATAAACAAAAACTTCAGAAGAGGAGGAGGAGGAGGAGGAGGGATGCAACAGATTGCCTCGGCGGGACAGTCTTGAACTATATTTACCGTCAAGCGGAAAAAGCGAGGCGAAAAAACTCACATGCACGTAAACACGGCGACGGCTGACGTTACGGAGCTAACACTCGTTTCGGTGTCGACGAACATGGGGAGTTATTCTCCGTCGTTTTCTCACTTTGGTTAGTTTGTAGGCACCTGTTTTGTTGTCGCTTTAAAACCTCTTCTCTTCAGCGGAAAAGACCCAGGCTACATCTCCGTGTGGAACAGGGTGGCATTCTCGGTTTTCTTTGGGGGGGGGGGGTTTGTGTTGCTTCGGCTCGTCCCGGAGTTAATTTCCTCTCCCGTCCAGTTTCTGACCCGGAACACTCACTCCCTCATTCCAATCCTACGTCATCATTCCATGTGGCCCCGCCCCCCTCCCCGTGTCCCTCCTCTGGATAGTCCCGTCTAGTGATGATGGGAGTTTCGTCTATTTTCAGTGAGTCGGATCATTTGGCTCAGTTCATTTTAATGTGGCGTTTGGGTGAGATGTGCTACCTTGTTAAAAAATATATATATATATATGCATCAATTAATGTTCCCAGTACATAATTAATTAAAAGTCATGTCTCTTGGTGGCCTAGTGGCTAGTTTGCACACCCCATGTACAGAGGCTGCTGTCATCAACAACACCAAAGTTCTGTCTCCTTTCCTACATCTGTATGTATGTGATATATATGTATGTGCATATATATATTTGTGTGTGTGTGTTATGCGTATGTATGTATATGCATATGTATAGATTATTATTTCTTTTTTTATTTCTTGCTTTTACGCATTGCCTGTAAAGCACTTTGGTCAGATGAAGCTGTTTTTAAATGTGCTATACAAATAAACTTGATTTAATTTGATGTCATTCCTCACTCTCTCTCCAAGATTTCCAACACTATCCACTGTGCTGTCTCTCTAAATAAAGGCATTAAAAAACTAAATAGGCTAAATCTATCTTTAAAAAATAATCTTTAATTAGACAAAAAAAATAATCGTCATCATTTACAACGATGTCGAGCAGATAAAATAATACAATTCAAGATAAATGTTTGTTTTTTTTAACTAGGCTACCATAAAAGAAAAAATATCAGTTAAAACAGACACAATTAATAAGTAATGCTAACATAAAAATCAATTAAAACAGGTGCAATCAGAGGTTGATTTAGGTTGAGTTGAAAACTAGGCTTAGTTTTTAAAAATAACAATTTAAACCACTTCTCAATCCATATGCATTGCTAGAGCCTGGAAAGTAAGTTTTCATACATTACTTTTAAGTTTCAGGTGAAGCATACACTTATAGACAAATTACTATCAAATAAACTTATTCACCCAGAACAGAATAAATGTAGGCTATATAACACCACTACTCACCGCATTGGCACTGTAAGGAAACAGGAAGCGTTTAAGAATTCAGAGAAAGCAAAATCGGATAGACAAATACAACCTCTCACTTAATGCTCCCAGCACATCTTGATAGGTGGCAATATTTGATGGAACAATGACTCCATACGGATCCTAAAGGATTTTCATTAAGGTCAGCTTTTGTAATTAAATATTCAATGATGATGCCTTGTGATTTTCATGATTGCTCAAGGTAACCATCCTAGAAAATAATCATCATTTTCAGGAGCAATATAATTTAGAATGATATTTGATCCAAACAGAATAATGTAAACATCTCTGTAAACATGTAAACATTTCTTCATCAATGTCTTTAACATTTTATTGATAAAGAACCATGTGTTGTGTGGAACATGTTTGCAGCAGCATATTAAATTCTCCCAAAGCTTGCCTCTGAACCTGAGTATGAAAGTGAGGAGTTTCTGGATCACATATAGTTTATAGGTTTGTCCTTTAATTCTATCATGTATTCGTTTAAAAAAAGCTCACACTCCAGGAGTCAGCTAATAAGGTCGACTCGTTCACAAACTGCTCATCACTACTCAGGTCCCGCACAGGGCCGCCATGATCAGCTCAGAGGACTTACAAGTGGCCACCCCTGAGGACACCCAGATTTAAAAAAAAGAAAAAAAACAACAACAATTCTGGAGTTCATGTGTCTATTTATAACTTTTAGAATAAAAGTAACATTGCCATTTATTCAGTAAGTTAAAAACTAAACATGCTAGCCTGAGAACAGGTGCCGGAAAGTATTTTCACCTTTTGTATGCTATGTCAGCTTCAAATGAATTAATATTTTTCATTTAAAAAATTGCATGACGTAACTGTAACTCACATTAAGTCAATGCACCTTCTTTAATGAATCTTTAAATGACTCTTCCCCAAACAAGCCTTCCACTAGGCTAATCAAAAGTTTAAAAAAATTGATTGACATGTTTGCCACAAGTGGCCACTGTTCACAAGGTTACTGTGAGCAAAGCAGCAACGATGTTGAATAACTGAGCTTGTTAAGACTTTATGCATATTTACATTTTATGCTTCTTTGTTCCACCTCATCTTACTTCAAATGGAGTATTTTACAGGGTGGGGGGAGGGGGGTATGTTTTACTTACAGCTGTATTCACTTGCCAAAGATAGATTTTACATCAACATATTTATTCAGATTTAACATTAAAGCTCTGAACTCACAGTTCATCTAAATTCAATCTCATTCATTTTTCTTTTTTCATCTCGTCCCTTATCTCCTCTCCTGGTCAATAGTCAGGGTCAGCTGTTGTCTCCTGGTCAAAAGGTCAGGAGACAACAGGATTTTAAACATAAAAATGACATTTTTGGGTGTTGTTATACTGTCACAAAAAGGCATACTTGTCACAATGACTTGGTGGTAGATCAGCAGAATTACTCATCAGGTCATTCTTAACATCCCTTTCCAGGTATGCTCGTTATATACCTCCTCTATTACATAAAACAAACAAATGAAAGGAGCAGATATATACTATGGCACACCTGGTCTACCATACATGTTAGATATTGTGTGGTGCTTTTAAAATTTGTTCATTAGAGTTGAATAACTTATTTTCTCATCCACAATATATTTATATTACACCCTGGCTCTGATACTTTTCTTACCCTCTTTTAAATTATAATGTAAAAGTCTCCACTTAGTCACCTTGTTAAAAATGATGAGCATTAAGACACAGTCACATGCCCTGTGAGAAATGGCCTCTCGCCTCAGACCAATGAATTAAACATGAAGGTAGATTAATGATGCAGTCTCAGCCGGCCTCCACAGGTGGTGCTGAAGGCTGCAGCAGGCTCAGAGTCCTGCCTGTAATATCTCAAACAGTTGTTCAAACGCATCCGAAACCCCTAAAATAGACGGGAAGGGTCAGTGAGAAGTGGAAGACGGATACCTTCCCCCCACAAACGACAACCAAACAAGGTGGGGAAAAAGCAGCGAGTTGACGAAGGACTTTTCATTTTGTGGAAATCATATTCCGGCTAAAAAAAAGATTAATTTTTAAACACTTTGGTCCTGAATAAAAACGAGATGAAAACAGAAACAGCTGATTACTTGTCGATATGTTTTATGGATTACATTTTTATCAGCTCATAAGTTGCTCATACTGATATTTCAGTTGATGATCTTTTAATAGTAACCCTCCTTAAATCAATACAACACTCAAATTTAACTTACCGTAAAACTTCAAATAAAAGCCCAACCTCATTTAAGGCCAAGGCCCTTTTACTAGTCTGGTGTTGCTACACGTTTTAAGTTAAATTTTAATTAGAGGATCCGTTGAATTTGGAGTTAATTAGTGTTTCCCATCTTTCCAGATAAGGGTCATTTTATAAACTGAAGTAAATGAAAGCCTATGTGGTTAATTAAAGTTTTACGGTAATCAAATACATAGTTATGCATTCAAATTATCTGGTTATGGGGCACACAGAGGCGCTGCTTGTCAACAGGTTATGGGGCACCAGACCAGTAAGGGGCCCACAATCTTGAAACCACAGCAGAATGTGCAAATTTTGCAATGACTGTAGGAAACCTCCCTAAGGGGACCCCACCTGACAGCACTCACACTCATTGCCTTTCTTAGCGTTGCGTGCATTATTGCTGTGAAAACCAAAGTTTGTCAATGAAAGTCAACAAAGTTAAATGTAACAGGAAGAAAGAGGAAGCAGAGGAAGCGTTGGGACAATGGCAGACATAATGGTGATTAATGCAGGTTGTACGGTCCCCCAATTATGTCTTGCCTGGGGCCCCAACAGACTCTAGAATCGCTAGGGGGCGCACGCCCTGTGTGCAAAGGCTATGGTCCTCGAAGTGGGTGACTTGGGTTTGAGTCCGACCTCTGGCTTCTTTCCTGCACGCTGTTCCCCACTCTCTCTCTCCCTCTGGTTTCCGACTCTTCCCACTGTCCTGTTTCTCCAATGGAGGCATACAAAGTCCAAAAATAAACCGTAAAAAAACAAAGTATCTAGTTGTATCACTTAGAATTTCATGGTTTAGTGTTACAAGAGTTTAGAGGAAACAAATCACATTCACTGAAATTAACAGTTTTGTGTGTAAGGAGGAATTTACACGTGTTGAAAAGCATGACACTTTTCTAGAGATCCTCTAGAGGGAGCCAACCCCCATTAAATAACCTTCCAAACACTGAAATAGACAAAAAAAGATGGAAAGACAAAATCTAAGATCACGTTTGCTCATTTCATCGTCCATTTAATAGTGAAGAAAAATTCACAGTTATAAAGAAAATAAACTAACTAAGTATTTAGACAAACAACACAGAGTAATCAAAGGAGAGAATAACAGGCCTTCTCCTGTCCTGAGTTAATGAATGAATGAATGAATGAGTGCACTTTCACCACATCCACACACAGTCGTTAGCAGGATCATATAAGAGGGTTTATCTGCGTCCCAGCTGTTTCTTAAAGGCCTTCAAGGACTTTGCCATCATCGGAGCAACCCCTGCGTGAACAACAGGAACAATAAGATTACGATTGTAAGACTCTTCATGTTAACGTGATGACCATCTCGGTATGCTTTAAACATCTTTTCAGCTTTATGAGCTCACTTGTTTTCTTGCGAGGGTCTTGAGTATTTCCAGACCCTGAACTGGTGCTGCTGGGTCTGCTGGGCTCATCACAACTTGTCCTCGGTCTGATGTCCTGAACCTTAACACTTGACAAAATAATAGAAACAGTGTTACTCACATGTCAAAAACAACAGAATGTTAAGGTCAGTAAATAAAAAAATTATATACTTTTTCAATACCACGTTTTAAATTGCTAAAATCTCTGATTTCTTAATGAAAAGTATTGCAAAATGTTTAAAATCCCAATATGATATGGTGGGGCCTGTGGTGATTCCCACCCCTTATTTTAACCCCTAGTGGCAGATAGCAGTGAGTGTCCATTCAAATTCAAAGGGCGTCAA